AGGAAACGTTCCCAGAGCTCTGTCATTCCTTCCAGGGCGCCCCCCCCCCCCAACACTGCCTCTCCTATAGCTTCCCTTCTTTCTTCTATGTTCAAACCAAAAATGCAAGAAAAACTAATCTATTTTGTGTCTGCTTTTAAACAGCTGAATTAAAGCAGAAAAAGTAATGTTGGGGAAATGAAGGGACATATGTTACTTTCACTAGATCTCTCTTCTTTCAGTGAGGTGGTGTTCAAGATGTTCCAGACCTGCTTTGTCATTGAACTGGTAAGTGAAGTAAAATTTAAAATGCTAACTTGGCTGGGCTACTCTGTTACCTGATAACAACAAGCTCCTCCTTCCTTACAAATTCAAATAAGCCACCCACCCACCCAAGACAAAGTCAGTGTAGTCATGGTTAGAGTATGGGCTTTGGAATTTGGCAGATTTATGAATGGTAAAATCCACACATTTCCATTTATATTTTAAGATTTGGGACAAGTTACTCAACATTTCTAAGGCACATTTTTCTTGTAACTACATCTTAGAAAAATGTCATATCAGTCAAGATAAGCCTCTTAAAAAGCAGCCCTCAGGGCCCAGTGTGGTAGCCTAGCGGTTAAAGTACTTGCCTTGCATGCGGAAGAATCCCATATGGCCACTGGTTCTAATCCCAGCAGCCCCACTTTCCCATCCAGCTCCCTGCTTGTGGACTGTAAAAGCAGTCAAGGATGGCCCAAAGCCTTGAGACCCTGCACCCATGTGAGAGACCCAGAAGAAGCTCCTGGCTCCTGGCTTCAGGTTGGTTCAGCTCCAGCTGTTGTGGCCACTTAGGGAATGAACCATCGGACGGAAGATCTTGCTCATTGTCTCTCATTGTCTCTCCTCATTTCTGTATATCTGTCTTTCCAATAAAAATGAATAAATCTAAAAAAAAAAAGGCAGCCTTCAAAAAACACGTTAGACCCACCTTTAACATGATCCCAAATACAAAATATCCGAGCTAGAAGTATCAATTCACATTTTTTTTCCTTTTAGAGAAATGAGTTATCTGTTCTCTTATTAGTCTGTCAATTATTTCTTACTCTAAGGAGACATATGATTTATTTTGCTATATGGAGCAATTATCTTAATTAATGACATATGAGGCCATAAAACAAAACACTCATTGAGCATTTCAGAGTGTGAGAAATACTCTTCCAATTTACAAAGAAGGAAACAAATTGTGTCATGATAACCCCACTCATTTTAGCAGTACAAATATATACTGCAACATTTTAATAAGTATAATAAAATAAAACTAGTACAATTATTTTATATTCTACTTACATTATACCAAGACAAACATAACAACTACAAAATTTGTTGCAAGGTGTGAGCAAGATCAAGTCAAACAAGTCTAAGGTTTTCTAAGGAGCCTTTATCAACCAAGTTTGGTGATAACAGGGCCCACTAGAAAGAGCATATCATAAACCCATATAGTGATCCAGTCAATCGAAACCCAAAGAGGAACAAATGGTCATTACCCTGAAGTCCATCCGTTAAGCTGAAGACCTATGTCCCAGTATCCCTAACAATATAAGTTACCGTGAGAGACATGCAACGAATAATCCTGACACCCTTACAAAGCTGCATTCACCTTTCCCTAGCCTCTCTGCCCACATTCCACTACTGCTAGGCCTCACCTTCCTGGAACTCCTGAGAGCACACAAATCAGAAAAACAAAGCTTCTTAGCATTGCTATCTTCACTGACCTGCCCAAGCAATGAACAGTGGGTGAAGAATACAGACACACAGGGGCCATGCTCAGGGCATCCTGTCCTTATTCTGTCCGTGGGAAGCCAGAGAGCAAGCAAGCACTGGGAAGGCCAGGAGTCAAGACTGCCAGAATGATGGAGGCACAAGACCAAGAGAGTGAGCCCCTCCTATCAAGGGCCTGTATAGGGGCTTGTGAGTGGTTACACAACAACACAACACTGCTCCCTCTCAGGTTCCAGGTGATCATCACAGGTGGGCAGGAGGGAACACACAGATGGTGGTGGGGAGTGGCCTTCAAGCTAGTGACCCTGAACTAACCTTACTACGATACTACTTACTAAGAGATAAATATAAGTGCCATATTGTCTTAAATAATTTTTCACAATTTTATATGAACTGCTTCTATTCACAAGCATATTCTTATCTTGACTCACTTTTTTGGTAAGATGAATTTATTTCTCTTTTCCTGCTACTAATTCTCTACCTATGCATTAATGTAGTCCCATTTTTAAAAACACTTTAGAACTTTATTCCATGAATTTTATCTACATTTTAGTGCTTTAGGAGTCACTTTTTCTTATGACCTTTCCTGACTTTCCCTCTCTTACTCAGGAAAAAATTAGTCACTCATTTCTTAAAATGTATAAACTCTTTTGCTCATATTGCTAGAATAAATGAGGAAGTGTAAAGGGAAAGGAACATGACTGAAGGAAAGGATACTAGCTTTTTCAGACGCTTTGGCATTACATGCATTTATAGACTTGGAGTTATACCTTGTCCTCTAAACCTCAGTTTCTCAATCTGTGAAATTAAAAAAATTAATATCCATGCTACAAGATTCTGATGAAGACTAAATGAAAATAAATGTCAAACACACAAACTGGCAGTCTCAATACCTTTATATATATATGTATGTATGAATTATAATTGCTATGGGATAGGATGGTCTGTATATTCAAATCAGTGGTTCACAAATTTTTCTTGATTTTTTTTAATGCAAAAACTCCAGATATTCCTCCTCCCACTGAATGAAATTAGTGGCTCTGACTACAGATTATGAGATCATAAATATCCTTTTATGTACTTATAAATACCAATTGCCCAGCTTGCTTGCAGTAGAGATAATTTAGCTATAAACACTTAGTAGAAATTACTGGAAGTGCTTAATTTTTACTAGACTAGAACAACAAAAATTTTTTTCATTATATAACAAAATCACATTATTCGGAGTATTTTCTAGGAACAATCCAGCATAATCTGATTAACATCTAGAAAAAGTATACCTGTATTTAACAAGCCATTTTTTAAAGAAATTCAGACTTTTCTCATCAATTATTCATTCACTTGTCCTCATTGGCATGAAAGGCAGATAAGAGACAGAGAGAGGAGAAAAGACTATCTACTGGTTCATTCTCCAAAGACCTAAAACATCAGGTCTGAGTAGGCATAAACCAAGAGTCAATAATTTCTTTTCTTTTCTTTTTTTTTTTTTTTGAGAGTCAATAATTTCATCTTAGCCTCCCATATGGGTAGCAGACCCAAGCAGTTGAGCCATTATCTGATGCCCCCAGGATATATCAACAGGAATGTAGATGGAAGCAGAGCATATTGGGCACTCCAATATGGGTATGTGAGAGTTCCAAATGTGGCCTAACCTGCTGCAGTGTAACATTAACAAATCTCATCAATTCCTATAACATCAATGGATATGAGCATAAAGGATAGAACTATGAACCCATAAATTCCTGAGCAAAATATCATCTATTTTTCAATTAATACGCATTTGACATTTTCTTTCTGATTTCATCTAAAGTACCTAAATTTGCTCATTTAAAATGTACACTGGTCTGTACCAAAAATGTTTTTATTATCTGCCCAAGGAATCAAACATTTCACAAAACAACTTAGATAGTACACAAAAGAGAATAGTAAAGACCTGATGAGGGTTGGTGTAGTAGCATAGCAGGTAAGCTAACTCCTGTAATGCTGGCATCCCAAATGGGTGCCAGTTAATGTCCCAGGTGCTCTACTTCTAATTCAACTTCTTGCTAGTGGCCTAGGAAAAGCAGCAGAAGATGGTCCTACTGTTAAGGCCCTAGATGGGACCTAGATGAAGCTCCTGGCTTCTGGCTTCTGGCTTCTGGCTTAGGCTTTCCCCACTCCTAGGTATTACAGCCTTCTGGAGAATCTGTGTATCCAAGATCTCTCCTCTCAGGCACGACACCGTAGCCTAGTAGCTAAAGTCCTTGCCTTGCACACGCCAGGATCCCATATGGGTGCTGTTTCATATGTCAGCTGCTTCATTTCCCATCCAGCTCTCTCCCAATGGCCTGGGAAAGCAGTAGAGGATGGCCCAAAGCCTTGTGATTCTGCCTGTGTGGGAGAACAGGAAGAAGTTCCTGGCTCCGTATCAGCTCAGCTCTGGCCATTGCAGCCACTTGTGGAGTGAACCAGCAGATGGAAGATCTTTCTCTCTGTATATCTGCCTTTCCTATAAAAATAATAAATAAATGTTTTTTAAAAGGAGGAGTGCTCGCCTCTCTGGCACTGGTACTAAGCCCAACAGATTAAGACACCATGTGCAGGACTAGCATCGCACGTGGGCACCAGTTCTAATCCCAACTGCTCCTCTTTTAATCCACTCTCTGCTAACGTGCTTGGAAAAGTAGTTGAAGATAGCCCCTCGTGCCCCTCCAATCATATAGGAAATCACAAAGAAGGTTCTTTCTTCAGCCTACCCTAGCCCTGACCATTGTGGCCATTTCAGGTACAAGCCAGCAGACAATCTCTGTATGTCTCTCTCCTTTTCTCTCCATAAACTTTCAAATACATACATATATTAAAAAGATCTCTCCCTCATAGCACTTTCAAATAAACACATACATCTTTAAAAAAATAAACAAATAAAAAACCACAGGATAATATGAGCTCAATCACAATACTTCCTAAACTGGGAGAATAACTTCCTTATTTCAAATGATTCCATTAATCAATACAGAAACCACAAAGTTAACACTTCCTCAATTCTCATCTGTTCGTGGTAACTGATTCAGCATAAGCCTTGGCAACAACAAAAAATTATACACTGTACTTAAGAACCAGTAAGATTGCTTTTATACAGAAATTTAGGAGAAGTGTTTACTAAAGCTATTTATAATGTTTTCTCAATCAAAATATATTCATTTTATACTGCCTTCTTACATCGCTAACTCAGCATTCTGAAATGGGCATGTCAGGTTCTCAACCTGATGCATTCACCTTACCTTCCCACATGCTCTACAATGATGCCTCCTTTTGGTGAATGTAAACCTGGCTTCACATTTCATGCAATTTGGAGCCTGGGAATCTGGTACCCACACTGGAGCCACTTCACCCAGAGTGGTAAACGGCTTTCTGGAAGAAACTCCAAACTGACCGGCTCTGAGATCATTATCTGGGCTATCTGGAGGTAATGCAAGGCACGGTCTACTGGAGATTTCAGCCTCATAACTTTCTAAATGTTCTCCATTTGTATCACCAATAGAGATGTTTCCCAAAGATGCATTGCATATACTGGTTGCTGAGTTTTCCCCTAATTTTGCTTTCCCAAGAATATTGTTCTTGTTTTTAACATTATTTCCACTGCTTGCAGGAAGGTCATTTTGTAAATGGTCTGATAATGGCTTTGGAATTTGAAGTTTAAGATTAGAAGGTTGCTTGGGTCTTGCACCACCAAAAGGAACACTGATAGGTTGCAAGTTTGCTGCAATCTTAGGAGAAGATTGCCCAAGCACTGCTGGAACTTGACTACAGAAATTATGCAAAGAATTTTTCTTCATTAGGTCACCAGTACTATTCAAAAGTAATCCACTCCCATCTGTGACCTCATTTCCCCTCTGTTCATAAATATTTGTGTAGCATTCTGATTTGCTCTCTTCTATTTCTTTTTCTTCTGTTACTGAATCTTCTTTGGAGGGTAAAGTCTTTGGAACAAAAGAAACAACTGGGCTCTGCATTCCATAGGAATCACAACCATTTGTTAGAGAATTTGCTGCTGGTGTATCTGTAACAGTGGAGAAATCACATCCTTCACTTTCATTCATGCAAGTTCCTTTGAAGTCTAGGCACGTGGCTGTCATTCCAACACATTCTCCTCCACTATCACAGGTGTCCTCAGACTGACAAATCCGCAGAATTTTTGCAGTTTCTTCATTTCCTTGGCTATCATTCATCTCATTCAACTGAGTCAATTTCCAATTAGTCACTTCCTCAGATTTGGAGAAATGTTCTGTCACACTAGGAAACTCTGTAGTCCCAAGAGTTTTTTCATGTTTACAGCCTTCATTTTCATCAGCCCTAACTTTATCAGGCACAAGGCAATCTGATAACTGTTCATGATTATTATCCCTTGCAGATCTATCAGGCATGTCTGGTTGGACAAGCAAAGGTAAACCAGACTGGAGTGATTCTCCAGTTGTTCTGTCCTCAGCTGGCTCTTTTTTGGTTAGAATATCCTCATTTGAGTGGGAAAAGAAATTTGGATTCCCTACAACTGTCCTAGGAGAGCTGCTTTTGCCATGAAGGTCCTCCTCTGGTTTATAGTTCTCTTGTTTTTTAGTAGCAGGACCTCCATCTGTTCCCTGGGATGAGATAACTGAATCAATTGTTAAACTTGTCATTGCAGACATGCAGGAGTCTCTACCTACATTTGCATCATCCTTTAATTGTGAAGGGGAACAGACACTGGTTAGACTATCAGGTGACGTAGTGTGTAGATGGTTAACAGAATCTTCCTCTGTTTTCACTCTATTCAATGGATCCATTTGTTTCTCTGAGTCCGTATCTTTTTCAGTGGACCCATTCATACTAAAACTAAATTGATCAGTTTGTTGGCTTTCATTATCCAGTGACTGACTAAAAGCATCCATGAGGGATTGACCATTAAAATTATTACAATCCTGTAAATCACTTTGCAATGTCCTTTTATCACAGTTATGCATGACAGCTACAACAAGAACATTTTTTTCATCTGGCCGACAAGTGAGGTTTCCACATTTCTTCTCTCCCACTTCAACAGCACTGCATTGATCATCCCGATTATAGTTTCTCTTAATTAACTGATCTTCTGTAGCAGCATTTTCATCAATCCACATTGTGGCAATCTCTGGATTTAAATTACAGCCTTGTCCATTAGCACAATGATCCTCTCCCTCTGCAGTCAGAGACGCTGAATGAGCAAGTGAAAAGACTTTCAGGTGTGGTTGTGACTCATTAGAACCTGCAGGCTCATTCACACTGGTCAAGGCAGAGTTCAATGCTGGTCGTTGAGAAGGGGGATTTAGGCTCTTATTCCACTTGGCATCCAATAATGTAGAAGAAACTGTTTCATCTGAAAAGATAAGTAATTACAGTAAGTTTGTTGGTAACACTGACAAGTTACTATGACTAAGTATTTTCAGCTGCATTCTGAAAATAAAACATAGGTAAAATCTGAAGGCTCATAATTTCTGGAAGTGAATAAGAAAGTTTAAGAGTAACAAAACTTTTCAAACAACAAAAGAACTATACCTCAACATAGTAATATGGTTAAACTGGCACAGGTCCAATAGAGGAGAAAAACACCCTTAGAGTGTGCACTAGGTAGAACAGCGAATAATTTAAGAGGAAAAATAATCCAGAACGATGGTGAGACTAAAGTAACTGAGTAGGACGGAAAGTAAAATCATTTGTGGAAATTAAATACTCTATAATGGTAACATGATTAAGATTCAGGTTAAAGGGTATCTTCTCTTATCAAAACTGTGTAAGACCTAAGCATGTTAATGAATAGAAGGTTTACCATAACCAACCACCAAGGGGAAATGGAGCAGAGCTTGAGGAGCAGATAAAGATATTAATGACACAAAAAACAATAGTGTGTCAATCACTGAAACTGGATGATAGGCATTTCTACTTAAGTTGTGTACACTTTTTAACTGTCACAATGGGCTTTCAGATATATTTATCTGTTTGAAAAGCAGATTACAGAGAGGGAGAGACTCCTAAAGAGAGATTTTCTATCCACTCGTTTACTCTCCAAATGGGCTGCAATAGCTGGGGTTGGGACAGGTTCAAGTCAAGAGTCTAGGACTCCATTTGCATCTCCCATATTTGGGAGAAAAGATCCCAACTATTTAGGACATCACCAACTACCTTATCAGGCATATTAGCAGGGAGATAAATTAGAAGTGAAGGAGCCAGTATTTCAATTGGTGCTCCTATGGGATGCTGGTGTCACAATGGCAGTTTCACACATTCGCTGCATTACAACACCAGCTCCAATAACGTTTTATTTTCTTTTTTATGATTCATGTATTTTTACTGGAAAGGCAGATATACTGAGAGGAGACACAAAGACAAAGATCTTCCACCTGCCAGTTCACCCCCCCAGGTGGCTGCAACAGCCAGAGCCAAGCTGATCCAAAGCCAAAAGCCAAGGGTCTCTTCTAAGTCCCCAAGACAGGTTTAGGGTCCCAAGGCTTCGGGCTGTCCTCAACTACCCTCCCAGACCACAAGCAGGGAGCTGGATGGGAAGTGGAACAGCCAGGACACAAGCCCATGCCCACATGCGATCCCAGCGCATGCAAGGCGAAGATTTAGTCACGAGGCTACTGCGCTGGGCCCAGTAAGTCTTAATAAGGTGGTTTTTTGTTTTGTTTTGTCTTTTTAAGTCTGTTACAGAGGTGTAATTTGGTGCAGCATTATGATGTGACCTGGGACATCTGCCTGGGTTAAGGGCCAACTCACTTCTGATTCCAGCTTCCTGCTTATGTGCACACAGGAAGGCAACAGATCATGACTCAGGTACTTGGGTCTCTGATGTCCACACAAGAAACTGAAGTGTGGACGTCTTCAAAATCTGGGCTCCTGGCTTCAACCTGGCCTACCTGAAGTTCTTACATAGGAATAAATCAGAAGATGGAAGCCCATACTTTCTCTGTCTTTATATCTCTACCTTTCAAACAAACTTATCTTAGTTTGCTATAGAATACAAAATTATACTTTTGACCATATCACAATCAGATATTAATAAGGTTCATACTTATACTATTTTCAGAGAGTATCTAGAAGATAATATTCTACTTTTGACCAAACATAATCGGATATAAATAAGATTCATATTTATACTATTTTTAGAGAATATATAGCAGAAAATATTCATTGATCTTGTTGAAATTAGTTTGCTGTAGTCTATCAATAGCATAGTACTCAAATAATCTGTGTACTTTGACACTGTAAGTTTGACAGCTATTTTCTCAAGTTACAGTGTTACTGTGTAAGTCTAAACAAATTAGAAGAATAAGGAAACAAGGTATTTGATGCCCTTCCTGTTTTTTCCTTTAGTAATGGATAATCATAGTGCTGAAATTATGTGAACACACCTGGAATATTAATCACTGCCTATAAAATAATCTTCATAGCTCCCACAAATCCTGTACATATCTCTATTCAAGCATTTACGACAGTCTAATGTAACGGCTTATTTACCCATCTCATTCATTGACTGGTTTCTTTCTTTTTTCTCAAAGATTTATGTATTTATTTATTGGAAAGTCAGATATACAGAAAGGAGGAGAGACAGAGAGGAAGATCTTCCGTCCGATGATTCACTCCCCAAGTGACCACAACGGCTGATGTTATGCCAATCCAAAGCCAGGATCCAGAAACTTCTTCCGGGTCTCCCACTCGGGTGCAGGGTCCCAAAGCTTTGGGCCATCCTCGACTGTTTTCCCAGGCCACAAGCAGGGAGCTGGAAGGGAAGTGGAGCTACCGGGATTAGAACCGGTGCCCATGGGATTCCGGTGCGTTCAAGATGAGGACTTTAGCCTCTAGGCCATGCCACCAGGCCCCACTGGATGATTTCTAAGGGCAGAAAAAGCTCATCCCAGCATCTATTCATTTTGCATATTATCTACTATGTGGTACACAACAGATGCGCAGTAAGTACATATCTATCATAACGAAAACACTGGGGGTAAGGAACATGAAGATTAAATAATACTTATCACCTCCAAAAAGTATATAATCTAGTCATGAGAATAATACACAAACATAATACATATTAATGTCTATTTAGAAGTACACAGCAGTGTAAGAATTATTACACAGAAATAGAAAAGTAATTGCAGGATATGATAACTGAGCCTGAATCCATGAAGGCAAGGGAATGTGGGCTAGGCTTGAAATACAATTTTAAGTAAGTTAGAAAAATGAGGTTCTTATGAATAAGGAAAAGCAAAAAATGCAGCCCCCAAAACAAGAATTCAAGAGAGCAGTGAGTCAGTCAGTTTGCAGTGATTAAAGAGTTAGTGTAGGGGCCAGCATTCTGGCACACAGGATAAAGCATCCCATCTAGGTGCTGGTCCAAGTCCCAGCACTCCATTTCAGGTCCAGCTCCTTGCTAAAGGCCTGGGAAAGCTGCAAAGGATGGCTCAAGAACCTGAGCCCCTGCCACCCAAGTGGGAGGTGCAGATGATGCTACAGCTTTGGCCTGACACAGCCTTGTCCATTGTGGCCACTTGTGGAGCATATCGGGAGATGGAAAATCTGCTTCTTCCTCTCTTTCACATAAATAAACACATCTTTACTTAAAAATTAGTGTAAAGAAATAAAAAAAAAAAAGAGGCTAAAAAGAGCAGAGAGTAAAGGGTGTAAAACATCAGGCTGCATAAAGAAGGGGCCTGGTATCCTATGAGTCTTAAATTCCATATTTACCAAATTGGTGCTACTAGAGATTTGAGAAACATGGCTTTCCTTCAAAAAAAAAATAATAAAATAAATAAGTCTGGTGTTTGGCCTAGTAGTCAAAATACCAGTTGGAATGGCCACACCCCATCTCAGAGGACCAAGGTTTGAGACCAGGCTCCAATAACAATTCCAGTTTGCTTCTAATGCCCATTCTAGGAGGAAGTAAAACTCAAGGAGATGGACTTCCACACAAGAAACCCAGATGGATTTCTTGGCTATGACTTTCAATCCGACCAAGTCCCAGCCCTTATAGGCAATTTGAAAGTGAAACAGTAGGGGAGAGACAAGTAATATATGAATACTGTATGTGTCTCTGTGTGTGTGAGTGTAATAAAAGTAGTAGGTAGAGAATAAAGATGGCGGAATAGGGTAAGGACACGTTTAAGCAGAGAAATATGAGCCAGTGTGAAACAGAGAAGGAACATTCCAGGAAATAGGAGAGGACAGAAAGCAGCAGAAGGATACCTGGACACTGACAGACACAGGAGAGCAGCAGACACAACGGTGTGATGCTACAGTTACTGACATCCCAGTGGCATCCAGCAAACGGCAATCTGAACTCCACCAGCAGCCGGAACTCCACCAGTAATCAGGTGGGAAGGGACTTTCACTGGGAGCTCAGGGGGTGAACGAAAAGAACTGCCCATCCTGTTAGTCTGTTTGACCAGAAACAGAGAAAGAGCCACAGATCCCAGACAAGCAGTGTGGGAACAGGGTGGCTTTTAAGCCCAGTCCACATCCTAGAGCTGTATCAGGCCAAAAGAAGTATTCAATGAAATAATCAAGGGAAAGTTCCCTAATCTGGAGAAAGAATTGGGAAACAAGATCCAGGAGGTGCAGAAAGAGAAGCCGAGTTTGCAAATGTATTCAATGAAATAATCAAGGGAAAGTTCCCTAATCTTGATGTCTTCCTCAGTTACCTCTGAGGTTGGCATAGGGTTTTGCTTCTTTGCAGGGGAATCTTCGGTAATACTCACTGTGCTTCTGTCTCTTGTTTTACTCTTGGTCATTGAACTTCTGGTTAGCAGAGTCTTCTTCTTCTTGGGGCAGATTTCTAAGCTGTGTCACCCACAGGTCTACGATGTGATTTCACTTATTGCAGTTGGTACACGGCTCTTGTTTGTCATCACTTGTGCCACTCCCTCCAGCAAGTTCTAGGTCTGGGTTCTTATCTTAGAGTTCCACCATGGTCTCTGTAGCCCTAGCTCCTGGCTCACCACTCTCCACCTCCTGTGATACTGTGCTGAGGCTGCACTGTTGTCTCTGCCACCTTTCTCCCACTTTCTGTTGGAGCATTTCCCAGGATTAGGGAGAAACCAGGTGTCCTATCTAGTTAAGTTGTTGGTGTTTATCTTGTTGGAACCTGTTGGACGTTAGGTCTGGGTGCCACACGGACCTATTGTGACCGGTACAATGCCACAGTTGGTATTATTTTCCTGTGGGACCTCAGCGAGTTCTTGTGAGCTCAACATATGTGCAGTTCACTGTTGTCCCCTGCAGTCCCAAAGCTATTGCCACACTATACAAAATGGCACCTGACATGCACCACTAGAGTTCTTGATCTGCTGGCCATCAGATCAGAAGGCTACCCAGACCTGCCCCAGGTGGAACCTGTAGATTGCCACGTTGATGCAGTTCACTGAGCCAGAAATGAGCTCACTCCCAGCTCAGAGCATGCTCCATTCTTTCCCTTGCCCTTTCCTCCTTAAGTAAAATGTCACCCAATTCAGCTCTAGGGCGCTGACTTGGCTATGAAATCCAATCTGTTCTTGCACTGCCCGTCTGAGATTTGCTCCTGTCTCTGCTCCTGGTCAAATCCAATGGACCAGCAGGATGGACAGTTCTTTGTCTGGCTTTACCTCCTAAGGTCCCAGTGAAAGTCCCTTCCCACCTGGTTGCTGGTAGAGTTCTGGCTGCTGGTGGAGTTCAGATCGCCGTGCTGGAGTCATTGCAACATCACACTGCTGTGCCCGCTGCTTTCCTGTGTCTGTCAATCTCCAGGTACCACTCTGCTGTTTTCTGTCCTTTCCTATGTCCTGGAATGTGTCCTCTGCTTCACCCTGATTAAATGTTTGTCTGTTTAAACATGTCCTTACCCTATTCCGCCATCTTGATTCTCTGTTAATTTTTTTTTCCTGTTGCTGATTTTGTATTGCTTTTTTTCATTTAAGGGGATGTACAGTAACTGTATAATGGAGACTATCATATCCAGATGTGAGGATACAATGAAGTATGCATCTCTACTTCCAGACAAACATGGACTCCCATGAAATTATATCTTGACAATAGGATGCCGGACTCTATACCGTTTTCCATGCCTGCAATGATGGACATATGACTGTGTATGAAGAGCTATACAGTAGTAATGATATAGGGGAACTCAGTGAGATGGGGAGGGAGTTAAGGAGGAAATAAGGGAAATCCCAGGACCTATGCAACTGTATCATAAAATGATAATAAAAAGAAGTAAAATTGAAAAAAGAAAGAAAAGTAGTAAATTAAATTTTTAGTAGAAGGAAATTACATACTCAATCTGGTTCTTTAAAATGTAAAATTTTGCTTCTTAATAGTCTAAGAGGACTGATAAATGTTAAAATTTTCATCATTTAACTATTTGGGGGTAACACAAGTTACATGGTGTAATCACAGTCCAATTGTAATATATTTTCTATTCAAGGAAGGAAACTTAACAGACCTGGAACAATAGCCTAGTAGCTAAAATCTTCGCCTTGCCAGTATCCCGTAACGGTTTTAATCCTAACGGGCCCCACTTCCCTTCCAGCTCCCTGCTTGTGCCTGGAAAAGCAGTCGAGGATGGCCCAAAGTCTTAGGACCCTGCACTGTGTGGGAGATCTAGAAGTTACGGGTTTCAGATTGGCTCAACTCCAGCCATTGTGGCCGCTTGGGGAGTGAATCATTGGATGGAAGATCTTCCTCTCTGTCTTTCCTTCTCTCTGTATATCTGAATTTCCAATAAAAACAAAAAAAAAAGCACAAAATGAGAAATCATTTTACTTAAGCTATCTGTTAAAGTACCAGGCCAGAGATGATATTTTTTTAAAAAGATTTATTTTTTATTATTTTTTTATTGGAAAGGCAGATATACAGAGAGGAGAGACAGAGAGGAAGATCTTCCATCCGATGATTCACTCCCCAAGTGAGCGCAACGGCCGATGCTATGCCGATCCGAAGCCAGGAGCCTCTTCCGGGTCTCCCATGCAGGTGCAGGGTCCCAAAGCCTTGGGCCGTCCTGGACTGCTTTCCCAGGCCACAGGCAGGGAGCTGGAAGGGAAGCGGGGCTGCCGGGATAGAACCGGCGCTCATATGGGATCCCAGGCGTGCAAGGTGAGGACTTAACCACTTGCGCCACTGCGCCGCGCCCGATATGTTTTTAAAATATAATTAGCATAGCATCGAAGATCTTCCTCTCTGTCTCTCCTCTATGTATATCTGCCTTTCCAATTAAAAAATAAATAAATAAATAAATAAAATAAATAAAATATAATTAGCACTTAATATTATTTAAAAAAAATAACTCAAGCATATAAACATGCAGTTATAACCAGAGCTGATTTCAGAAATCCTCCTCCTAAAGGAATTTTATTTTACAAAAAATATTTTATTTTCTGTCTAAAATATTTTCAGTGAATCAAAAAGCATGTGCTAAAAATCAGCTATATACAATGATCCACTAGTATATGAAGATGTCTCAGAGATACTAAAAATGAACTAATTTTTATTAGAACTAATGGTATTATAGAAGTACAATTTTCACATGATTCTCAGAGTTCAGTAACTGGTACAATGAGGGCCATATCAAATAAATGTTACAAAAATATCAGTACAAGTGGTTGAAACTCAGAGGTTTATATATCTCTTGGCTTGATATGTAGAAAGTCTACCCAAATCCAACCAGATTCCAAATGATTATATTTCATACTTACACCAAATCAGCAAAGCGCTTATTGATACAGGTTAGCAGCAAGTCATCACGCATACAATATAAGACAGCAGCACATCCCAGGTCGTCTTCCTCTCCCTTTCTGCATATTCTATTTAAAGCTCGTTGTGTTATAGACCCAAAGTAACAAAATCAAAACTACTCTCTGTCCCCAACTGCTATCAAACAGTAAACTGAGTCACTGGATACAGTGAAAGTGTGAAGTTCATTACTCAAATCATGGACTTTGGATGGAAATATATCACTTTGCAAAACTGATAAGTGCTATTTTTTCTTAGAAATAAAGAATACAGCGGAAATGAAAACAGATACAGGAATTTAATTATATTTTATCTATTCAAAGCAAACTAAGACAGTAACTTAGTAAAAGATCTCCCTAGATGTAAATCTTCACCAGACATTTCTATATCAAGGTTTTAGAATGTGTGATTTAATTAACCATTCTGGCATTTATTCAACAGTGTGAACAAATCAGATTTAAAATGTACCATTACTTCACTGAAAAGTCAATATGGAACAAGACACTTTTTTTTAAAGATTCATTCCATTTTTATTGCAAAGTCAGATATACAGAGAGGAGAGACAGAGAGGAAGATCTTCCGTCCAATGATTCACTCCACAGGTGAGCGCAACGGCTGGTGCTGTGCCAACCTGAAGCCAGGAGCCAGGAGCCAGGAACTCCTGGTCTCCCATGCAGGTGCATGGTCCCAAGGCTTTTAGCTATCCTCAACTGCTTTCCCAGGCCACAAGCAGAGAGCTGGATGGGAAGCGAGACTGCCGGGATTAGAACCAGTGGCCATACGGGATCCTGGCACATTCAAGGCAAGGATTTTAGCTGCTAGGCCACCACCAAGCGCAGATATTTTTCTTAATTCATGAAACGCAAGCATAAAATCTAAAGCTTTCCTCAACCACAAAGTAATTAATTTATTAAGGCAGGACGGGTTTGGAGATTTGTCTCACACTGCCTTATTAACATTTTTGGCAATTAACTTTGAAAAGTGGACAAACTTCTGTCCTTTATTCAAATCTATAAAATGGAGATAAGAAGGTTAGTTTGATGAAACTGATTTGCAGGTTCGATGATATAATCCCATGCAGGTATCAGGCACATATTGCTAAAAATGTATTTCTTCTCTGGATATTATTATTTATCATCATCATCACCAAGTCATCAGAGCTCTTTTGGGTTTTTAGTCCAGCATTCTCTAATGCGTCCACACTTGCTGTACAATAAATCCAAAGAGAGAACTAAACATGGTATTAGAGCAAGTTAAGCTGTCCCTGGACATGCCCACATCCCATACTGTAGTGCCTGGGTACAAGTTCCCCTTCCACTTCTGATCCAATTTCCTGTTAATATGCCTTAAAAAAGATGGCCTGAAAATTTAGATTCCTTCCATCCATATGGGAGACTGGGATAGCAATTCTTCGCTCTGGACCCAGCATGATAGCCTAATGACTAAAGTCCTCACTTTGCACAAAATATGGGCACATCCTGCCCATATGGGTACCAGTTTCTGTCCCAGCTGCTTCACCCCCTGCTTGTGGCTAGGGAGAGCAGTGCAGTACAGCCCAAAGCCCTGGGACCCACACCCACACAGGAGACTGGGAAGGGCCTCCTGACTCCTGGCTTCAGATCAGTTCAGCTCCAGTCATTGTGGCCACGTGGGGAGTGAGCCAGCAGACGGAAGATTCTTCTCTCTGTTAATCTGATTTTCCAATAAATACATAAATCCTTTTTTAAAAGAGTTCTTGGCTCCTAGTTTTGGCCTACCTCCAACCTAGCTGTTACAGGCATTTGCACAGTGAACCAGAAGGTGTAAGATCTTTGTCTGTGTATGTCTGTTCCCATCCCTCTCTTTATCACTCCATCTATCAAGCAAATAAATAAATTTAATCAAATAAGCTGACCACATTAATTCTCACCTTCGTTCTGCTCAAATTCATCTAATACCTTGTCCAGGTTGTAAGCTTCTGCTTGAAAGTAATTCTCCATCAGTGAGGAAACACCACACAAGAGACCTGGTTAAACCTAAAATATAGATATGATTTATATTATACTTTGAATCATTAACATGTAACGTATAAAATTTAAATATACAAGGGTAAAATCTTTTTTTTAAAGATTTATTCATTTTTATTGGAAAGGCAGATATACAGAGAGGAAGAGAGACAGAGATGAAGATCCTCCCTCCGATGGTTCACTCCACAAGTGACTGCACCAACTGGAGTTGAGCCAATCCGAAGCCAGCCAGGAACTTCCTCCAGGTCTCCCACGCAGGTGCAGGGTCCCAAGGCTTTGAGCTGTCCTCCACCGCGTTCCCAGGCCACAAGCAGGGGGCTTGTGGGAAGTGGGGCTGCTGGGATTAGAACTGGTGCCCATATGGGATCCTGGCGTGTTCAAGGTGAGAACTTTAGCTGCTAGGCCAATGCACTGGGCCCAAATATACACGGATAAAACCTTACAAACCTGTTCATAAAGTGGTAAACTATAAAACCCATCACACTACTTGTAATATAGCTAAACTATAGAAACCTAGTTTCTAGTTTAGAAACCTGTAATTTTGACAATGACCAAAATTCAATCAGCCCTTGGTATCCATAGGTTCTACAGTTGCAGAAACAACACAGTGTGAGCCAAAAATATTTGAGAAAAATACTGCATTGACAAAATACATACATACCTTTTCCTTTGGATTTTTCCCTAAACAAATATAGCATGGCAACTCTATGTGGCATTTACACTGCATTAGATATCGTAAGTAGCTTGTAGATTATTTTAAGTATGATGAGGATATGAAACAATTATCTGCAAATACTATGCTGTTTTATATAAGGGACTTGATCATTGCGGATTTTGGACTTGCAGAAGTGCTACAACCAAGCCTCCACAGATACCAAGGTATAATTTCACTAAACATAAGCACAGACTTGATGATTACTCAAGAGGATGTGCTTTAAAAGACAAATTTCAAATGCTGGGAAAAGAATAATTTTATTTGGGTAAAAGAGTATTAGAAAAGCAAGCTCGAAGGTTTTTTTCTTCAAACAAAATTACATTTTTCTTAAGATGGGTTAATTAATTTGCTGGTTTATTTGAAAGGCAGAGCAACAGAAACAAAAGTCAGTGACAGATTTTCCATCCAAGGGTTCACTTTGCAAACAGGCACCAGAAAAATTCTTGCCACAAGTATTTAGCCTGAATTAGATCATAAAGAAAGTCAGGCCTACAATACAAGACATGCTATAAGACAAGTGACCCAAACATTAAGGGGAAAAAAAATATAAAAAAAAAAACACTAAAGGGGACCAGTGTTCTGGTGAAATAGGTTAAGTCACTGCTTAAGACACGCATTACCCCTTATCTGAGTGCCAATTCAAGTCTCAGCTGCTCCACATTTAATCCAACAACCTGCTAATGCACCCGGAGGTGTCAGAAAACAGTTCAAGTGTCTGAGCCCTGCCACCCACGTGGGAGACCAGGATGGAGTATCCAATTCCTGGATTCAAGCTGACCCAGTACTGGCTGCTTTAAGCATTTGGGGAGTGAACCAGCAGAAAGCAGACAGATCTCATTTGTCAAAAATTGGTTGCTTGTTGATGATGTGTGGATTGGTTTCTATTCGACTCCACTGGTCTCCATACTTATTTGTGTGTCCATCTCAGGCTGCTCTGAATATAAATATCCTGTAGCTTTTTTTGAAATCTGCTTATTATGATGTCTCAGACTTTCTTTTTGTTAAGAATGCTTTCGGGGCCCAGCGCGGTGGCGCAAGTGGTTAAGGTCCTCACCTTGCACGCCCAGGATCCCATATGGACGCCGGTTCTAATCCCAGCAGCCCCGCTTCCCATCCAGAGAGGAGAGACAGAGAGGAAGATCTTCTGTCCGATGATTCACTCCCCAAGTGAGCGCAACGGCCGATGCTATGCCGATCCGAAGCCAGGAGCCTCTTCCGGGTCTCCCACGCGGGTGCAGGGTCCCAAAGCTTTGGGCCGTCCTCCACTGCTTTCCCAGGCCACAGGCAGGGAGCTGGAAGGGAAGCGGGGCTGCCAGGATTAGAACCAGCACCCATATGGAATCCCGGGTGTGCAAGGCGAGGACCTTAACCATTGCGCCACTGCGCCGGGCCCCGGTTTTTCCATATTATATGTCTCCTTTTCTTCCTTAATGTTTTTTTTTTTAAGAATTATCTTTATTATTTTTTTTTATTTTATTGGAAAGGCGGATATAGAGAGGAGAGACAGAGAGGAAGATCTTCCGTCCGATGATTCGCTCCCCAAGTGAGCGCAACGGCCAATACTATGCCAGTCCGAAGCCAGGAGCCTCTTCCGGGTCTCCCACGTGGGTGCAGGGAGCTGGAAGGGAAGCGGGGCTGCCGGGACTAGAACTGGTGCCCATATGGGATCCCAGGCGTGCAAAGCGAGGACTTTAACCACTTGCGCCACCGCACCGGGCCCTTTTCCTTAATGTTTTATGACTGTCACTGTAGAGATCTTTCACATTCTTGGTAAAATTTATTCTAAAATACTTAAATTTTTATAGCTTTTTAAAATAAAACTGATCTTCTAATTCTTAGCCATGATATTGTTTGTATACACAAAAGCTTCTGATTTTAGTGTGCTTCCATATGCTGCAAATTAACCAATTTTTTTTTCAGGTTTATTATGTTTTTGTTGTTGTTATTATTTTATTTTTATTGCTGTTTCTTTTTGTTTTTTGTTTCTTTTTTAATTTTTTGGTTTATTATGTTTTTATTTGAAAGGCAGATTTTACAGAGGTAATAGTGACTAATATTATTTATCACTATGAATACTTCTGTTGTTTATGTAATTACATCCTTAAATATCTTTCGTAAGGTTGGACATATGGTGACAAATTCTCCTAATTTCTGTTAGCTTTGGAAGATCTTTTTATCACCTTCATTTGTAAATGAGAAGTTTGTTAGATACATAACAGTTGACTTGACAGTCCTCCCACCCCTTAGGTCTTAAATTATGTCTCTCCATTCTCTCATAACATGTAGCATTTCTGATGAGAACTCAGCTGTTAATTTAACTAGATATCCTTTAAGGGTAATTCGGCATTTCTCCTGTGAACATTTTATTTTTTAATCTATCATTACAGTAATATTTCCTTTAAAAATATTTATTTATCTAACTTGAAAGTAAAAATTAGAGAGAGACTTTCTTAGCTGGTTCACTCCCCAAATGGCCACAATGGACAGAGGTGAGCTGATCTGAAGCCATGAGCCAGGAGCTTCTTCCCAATCTACCTTATGGGTGCAGGAGCCCAAGTACAGGAACCATCCTCCACTGCTTTTCCATGCAATAACCAAAGAGCTGGACTGCGAAGCGAAGCTTCCAAGGCTCGAACTCACACCCAAATAGGAAGCCAGTACTAGAGGCAAAGAATCAGGATATTATGCAACCACACCAACCCCAACTCCTGTGCACATTTTAGAAACTTTTGTGTTTTGCTGTTCACAATCTGACTGTAACGCGCCACGGTGAAGATCTTTTGTGATGTCTGTTACATCTATGTGTCAGTGAGGACTGCGATTTTACTGCTCTGATAAAATCTCCTGGTTGTGTGCATGAGCTGTAGCATCCTCTACTTGCATTAAGAGGGTCCTTCTGGCTAGTTGCCAGGCACCCTTGAGGAGGGACAAGGAAAAAGCAATGTGCCTTCCCTTCACAGGGTTAGGCGGGCACGCTGCTTCCCATATATACCCTAAGTTGGACTCAAAGATGGTATGGTCTAAAAGATTCTACTTTGGGTAATATCACTAGTGACACTGGCTGCAGCAGATTCTTCTCACCTCACTTCAAGAAGATGACATCTTGTCCAGTCCCCCAGCTGCAGGAGTTGCCATGTGACCCGCTTGCTAACGTACATCTGTAATGTCCATGCTGCTCCATAACGTCTGTCCTCTCTGCAGAGGTTCCACTGCCGACTTCTGTCAAATTTTCTGCTAGGAATGTATTTCCTCCACCTTTCTTCTGTTATCTTCTCACGGTCAAAAATCTCACACCTTTTCCCTATTAATCCAGATTGAATCTATTTTCCTCATCTTTATTTGTGATACTTTGATCTTCTCTTACCTTTGTGATACAGTTACATGCAATTTGGATTTTAGTTTTTTAAGTTTTCTTCTGCTTCATTCTAAGCATCCCTTTTTTTTTAATATTAAATGCTTCTTTGGTGTTTTGGGTTTTTTTTATGATTTATTTTATTTTTATTGGAAAGGCGGATGTACAGAGAGGAGAGACAGAGAGGAAGAACTTCCGTCTGATGATTCACTCCCCAAGTGAGCGCAACGGTCGATACTATGCCGATCTGAAGCCAGGAGCCTCTTCCGGGTCTCCCACGCAGGTGCAGGGTCCCAAGGCTTTGGGCTGTCCTCGACTGCTTTCCCAGGCCACAGGAAGGGAGCTGGATGGGAAGTGGAGCTGCCAGGATTAGAACCGGCGCCCATATGGGATCCTGGGCATGCAAGGTGAGGACCTTAACCACTGCGCCATTGCACCGGGCCCTATGCATCCCTTCTAAATATACAAGTTTGATCTCATTCACACTGCAGGTTTTCTGAAAATGCCTAATTATTAAACATATTAAAGGCTAAAAATCAACTGAAAGCTCTGCCTGTCTGGCTTATAACTCAGTGCATGGTGATTGGGTGGTAACAGCTGTTTCACTGGGTAACTCCATGTGTCAGGATATGTACGTCTTCTCTTTGTAATCCAGGGAAGAATGAAATGATCTCTAAGGGAGTACAAGATGTAATATCTAGCAACCTCTTTCTGGAAGAGCAAAGGGTTGAAGAGAGGGTCTCACCTTTATGGAAGATTTCTTTTTATTTCTGCTTTTGCCATGGTGCCTGATCCCTGATCTATCATGGATAACATTTCCAAGTCGTTGAGACTTGTTTGAAACTTGAAAACTTGAGGACTTGGGAGTCTCCTAACAACCTCTTTTGTCATTCTGCTTCTAACACTTTCCTTTTTCAGTCTATTGAACAAAGACTTTGCAGA